GATTGTATCTGTTATCGTGTTGAGTATCTACAGTACCTCCGCGCACGGGCCAATAGGCGGTGACGACGCCTTTGCCAGTGCTCGTGTCGACCAATCAGTGTCGCGGATCAGTAGGACTCAAAGTCGAGTCCTAATTGATTCCAACAATCGTGTAGCTGGTATATTAATTAAGGGTATCGGCTCCAGCAAACTAAATCCGCATGTAGTAGGTCGCTTGGCGTGGCTTTGAGCATCAATGCTACTATTTTCAACCAAACGCGGTTGCAAGAGGAATCCAAAAAAAAAATTCAAATGAAACAAAAACAAAGAAAGCGAAATGAAACCCAGCCCGTTTTTTTTACCCGCCAGCCGTTGACGCCACATGGCCCGCCTCGCCCTCGTCGCTGTCCGGCTCGTCGCCCCGAGTAGACTTCTTGAAGCGCGGCTTATCTTCCGCAAGCGACAGCGCCAGCTTCCTCCTCTGGTACCCTCTGCCCTGGTAATCCGCCATGAACTTTTCCGCCGGCTCAAACTCGCGGAACCGCACAGTCACAATGCCCTCGGGCTCCTTGTCGTACAGCGTGCAGTTTGTGACTTCGCCGTACTCCTCGGCCGCCTCGCGCATCTCCTCCTTGATCTCGAGGTACGCTTCTGGCTCTTCGTCTAGCTCGGCGGGCGTGAAGGCGTGCTTGATGATGACCACCTTGGCCCACTTGTTCTTCTTGGGTGCAAACGCTTCGGCGACTTCTTCTTCGTTGTCGGACCATTCGTTGAGTTTGCTGCACTAGTGTTAGTAACGGGGCATGGTGTGGTGTAGACGGATGGGTGCACCGAGGGTGCGAGGTGGTCCAACTCACCGATTCAGTTCTGCCCTGTTGCGCTCCGATGCCTTTCTGTCTTTACGTGTGAGCTTCGAGGCAATCTTGTCGCCGTCCCTTTCCTTCTTGTGTTCAATCTTGGCGGGCTCGACGCGGATGGTGCCGTTGGAGTAGTCGCCTGGGCGGAGGACGTAGTCATCCATCATGTTAACGGCATTGGTGATGGCTTCTTTGCGGAAATAGACAACCATGGCATTGCCCGTGAACTTGCCCGTCTCCTCATCCATGTACATTTTGATGCGTGGCTGGCCATCGGCGCCCTTGTCAATGATGCCAAATCGTGAGAACTCATCCTCAATCTCTTTGGCAGTCGTGTCTGGGGGTAGATTGGAGATCCAAATGGCCTTGTTCTCAATCACTTTGGGCTTCTTGTTGGCCTCGGGCTCCTTGCCGTTCTTGCGCTTTTTGCTGTTTTGGCCAGCCTGCGCATCCGCGGCACCATCATCAACAGGCGGCGTACCCGTGTCTGCTCTTTCGGCAGTTTGCGCCGTGACGTCGCCTCGTTCGCTCATCTTTTGGCGACAGGTATGGGTGCAGTCAGGCGGTTGGCTGGCGGCGCGGATCAGCGCGGTCTCTTCCCAGACCAGATGCAAGCTACAGCTTCACGATGTCGAGGGCGGCAGAAAAGTCGGGCGGTGAGGTGTGGGGCCGCCGAGAGGGAAATCGGAGTTTCTTGCGACGAAGAGCCTCGGTGCGTGGTGGGCTGTCATCCAGAGGCACCATGTTTGGTTAGTGTTTCTGAAGGGCACGCCATGCTGCTCCAGAGGGTGCGGATGAGCGGGCCTGTGTACGTACTCGGATGCACTGCCTACAAATACACACGTACACAGCCGTTGGATGTTGTCGATGGTCGATGGATTGCAGATGTTGGCTGCACGCAGGTACATAGACTCGTCCTGACCACAGGCTGCAGAATGACGCTGATTGCGGGCGAGGATCGATTGAGCCGGCAGATGGTCATGCACGCGCCCAAAGCCCTCCAAGCCAAGGCGTGGCTTAGCGTGCAGCGCAAGCTTTCCACCTCGTTCGATCGCCAGCCCCGCATGTGACGACCTGGCGATCTAGCCATCTGCGCGTAGTGCGGACTTTCGGAGCATCAAGTGTTCGACACACGATACCTCAGACGCAACAGGAAGAAACCCTGGCCATCGCTAAGCACTCCGCCCTGAATCGCATGCAGTATATATACACGGAACATGTAGCCTTGCCCATCTGGTAAATCCCTCTTTTTGCTTTTCCATCTCTTTGTTGTTGTTGCGTCACACAACTTAATACTGATACCATGTCTCTAGTCGATACTGTACTCAGACCCAACATGCGGGATCCTCTCCCCCCACCTTCGCTGCTTGTCCAAGCAAGCAAGCCCCTCGCTGACAAACTGAGCCTGACGACTCTTCCTTACCATGTCCACGAGATATTCCTCGGTTTCCTCGGATACCACTTCATCCTCTATGTCCTTTCGCCGGCTGTCTCGCGACTAGTATGCCCAAAAGCCTACCATGGCTTCAACAAGCGCACGCGACTCAACTGGGACATTCACTGGGTCTCCATGATTCAGTCTCTCTTCATATGCGGCGCTGCGTTATGGGTAATCTTCAAGGATGAAGAACGACACGCCATGGACTGGAGGGGAAGACTCTGGGGCTACACGCCAGCAAGCGGCATGGTCCAAGGCTTTGCTGCCGGCTACTTCCTCTGGGACCTCCAAATATCCACACAATACATCAGTATCGCCGGCGTCAGTGCGCTCATCCACGCCATCGGTGCTCTGGCCGTAACCTGCATCGGTTTCGTAAGTCGCGACAACCCACCTGCCCTATTTGGGCCGTGTGTCGCAAACCCAAGCTGACTCGTGCACCAGAAACCCTTTGGAAACTACTACGGTCTCTCCTTTGTCCTCTACGAGTTATCCACCCCGTTCCTTAATATCCACTGGTTTTGCGACAAGCTCGGAATGACGGGATCCAAGCTCCAGCTCTACAACGGCATCGCTTTGCTTGTGACGTTTTTCGGCTGTCGCATCGTCTGGGGAACTTACCAGTCCATTATGATTTACTCGGATATCTACAAGGCTTTGACCATTTCACAGACTGAGAGCATGAGTTCACTCCTGGAGGCGCAAAAATGCGACGGAAGCACCAATAGCAGCATGGGTCTTGATGGATCTGGAAACTGCTATGGTGACCTCCCCATGTGGCTGGTTTGCGTCTACCTGGTTGGTAACACGGCACTAAGCATGCTCAACTTCTTCTGGTTCAATCAGATGATCAAGGCTGTCCGCAAGAGGTTTGTGCCTGCAGATGAAAAGGCGCAAGCCAAGAAGAGCCAGTAAATGTCGAGATAGAAGGAAGGAATTGGTTGAGTGGAAGGGTTTTTTTTTTCTTTTCTAGGTTTTAAATCAAGGGCGTTGCTTTAGAACTGCTAGGGCAGTTGGATCTTTCAAGGATGATGAATGATACCCCATCTCTTGCAACGAATGGAACGTGGATAACGATAGGCTCAGCATACATATGGGAAGCGTTGCATACTTAAATATAAATTGCAATAAAACAAATATCTTATCAAAATTACAAAGTACTTATCACTCCCCTAGTGTTTGAAGTTGCTCATCTCACGTCTTCCCTTCTTCCTCTGCAAAATCTCCATATTAAGTCCTCCTCGCTATAACTTTGGTCCACCTCCGGTACCCATCTTCTCCAGCTCAGCTCTCAGCACTTCTCTCATCTCGCCCGCCAACTTAGACCCTTCTTCATCATCCAGATCATCGCGTTGGCCCCGCCCAAACATGGTCCAGCTCTTGCTCTTGATTTCGGGCATGCTTTCTGGCCGTGGGATAATGTGGAAGTGAACATGTGGTACCACTTGTGCTGCTCTTGCACCTGCGTGGTGTTTAGTATAAGATGTTGGTGTGGGGTAGGTATAAACTTACCGTTATTCTGAACAATGTTGTAATCCGTTACGCCCGTGACTTTTGCTACTGTCCTTGCTAGAATGGGTAACCAGAAGCCTGTGGTTTGTTAAATTTCTCGCTTCTTTTATCGTTCATACGGACGAATTGAGTAGAGAAAACAAAAGATACTTACCAATCTCCCTACTCTCCACAACCCCCATATCCGCAACCTTGACTTTGTGCTGACGAGTTGTAACAAGTAAATGTCCTGTATCACTCACGTATTAGCCCCGCTAACATCCACACGTCTTTCTTCATCTTTCTTCATCTTTCTTCATCTCCCTCTCATCCCACAATCCCACATCTCTCGTACATGGACTGCCCTGCATATGCATCTCCTCCCACCAGTTCCCAAAACAAAAACAACCCCATATCTGCATCGAAGAGAAAGAATATAAAAAAAGAATGAAAGAAAAGCTCACCCCTCGTCATAGGCAAAATATCCAAAAAAGCAACAACATCATTACTCCTCAGCACCACAAAACTACTCGGATCGGTCTTGTCGGCCTGGCTCTCCTCCTCACTCGGTACACACGCTGCTAGCTCTTTCTGCAGTTTCTCGGGTGCACTGCGCCATAGCGAAGCGCCAGCCTGTGCGCTGTCGGAGACGGGATACGCGGCGGCGATGGTGCAAAAGGGACAGGATTCTGGCGGGTAGTGAAGGTCGGTTTCTTGCATGGCTGCTGGCTGCTGCTTGTTGCTGGGGTTGCGAGCTGTGTGGCGTTTGCTTGTTTATTTTGTGGAACAGGCGGGAAAAAATGGGTATCCAAATGGGAAATGTGTGTGTGTGGGGGGGAGGCTTGTTACACACGTTGCGTGTGGATGTAGATGTGGATGTATTTGTTTGTTGATTGCTCCACAGGTGTCCGTACGTGTTAGTCGTCAAGAATCCCCAGAAATGCACGTCAGTTCCGCGATGTGCACGCCACCCAACATCGGTCAGCGAACCCCCCCTTCAAACCAGTAAGGTATTACGATCGCGAAAAAAAAAGATCAGAAATAGATCCAAAAAAAAGTCTCGAGGATCGAACAAGTTTTTCCTCCTCACTCTGACTTTCAGCAATTCAAAAAGCCGGTCAAAAAAACAAACAGAAGAGCAAAAGACGAGATTCAAAGAAAGCTACCGATCCGCACCTGCACATGCAAACCGTAAAGCTCGAGCCCCTCGGTTTGCATAACCAGTTCAAAGCGGTATTAGCTCCCCTCCCCCTCCTCACGTCTCACTTGCTTAGACCTCGGTGCAACGATCGCGCGCCCTCACATTAGGGCATCTAGGCCCCCGGAGAGGGGGGGGGCTGGGGAAAACAAAAAAAACAAGCCAAGAACCACACCAACGATGATGATGACATTTGACTTTGGTTGGCTGAGCTAGAGAGAGGGAACTAGGGCGCGAGTCCGCCATTCCGGTTTATAATGCGTTAATTGCATAGGGGACTAATTGGCCAAGGTAGGACGACGTGATGCGGGCGGACGGACGACGCGGTGTAGACACGCATGACGTGCCACTACCGTGTTGCTTTCGAGCCAAGGGGCGTACGCGACGCGAGACCGTGGAGCTATGGCGTTTCGGGCGCGAAACACCCACAACGGGCGGACGTGGCTGGGGGGACTTTTGGGGGTGTGTGTATTGGGTACACATGACGTGACTCCAAAAGAGGCACAACAACAACACCTGTCACACCAAAGTATTTTTTTTCCAAGACGACCAGATTATTCAACATGCTTTGCTCCATTCTACTACACACTCCCCCAAACAGTGCGCAATTCACACACTACTCATACACGTGCGGAGAACAAATGTCTCCTTATCTGATATGCCAAATGACCATGTTTTTCCCACTCACCACACCACATACAGACAGGCACTCCATACAGGTCCACAAAGGAATAAAAACCTCTCTCATATCATACCGTTCCTGGTACATTGGACCGCCTAAGCCATGAGCGAGTATCCAGAGCCGCTATAAGAAATGAGGTAAAGTGCGATCTGAAAAGGTGGAAAAAAACAAACACACCCCTCGTTGCGCCTCCATTGACAGGAGATGAACGCCGGCAACTCCGTTCCCAAGCAAACAGAAAAAACCACTTAGGGAGGAAAAAGAACAAACAATGAAGTGAACAACCAACTTGCATCCCATGTATTAAACGCCGACCGGAAGATGGTATTAGCCAAGATGCAAACATGAATAGCCTGGTTTGGATGCAATCGTAAATTTTGGCTCCCGGTCGGGACCTGAACTTCGTCAATCACTACTCGTTCCCATGCCGGCGGTAATGAATAGCTTTGCGACACATAAGCCAATGACCGGTATTGCCTAACAAGAACCCACACGCTTAGCGCACGCTCTTGGTCTTGGTGGGGACAGCGGCCTCTTCTTGGAGTGCGTTACCATAGGCGGCAACGTATTCCTTGGCCCACTTGCGAAGAACAATGGATGCTGTATTGTGTTAATGGCGCACGTATCAAGAGGGGATAGTAACCCTTACCTTTCAAGAACTTTTTGCTGGCATACTTCTTAAAGAAGGCTTCGTGTACAACAGGGCCGGAGAGGTAGTCGATCATCAACTCAAGAACGGGCTGAATCTCCTGCTCAGTGTAACCGGCGTAGTGTGTGAGGGTAGCGTCCTATTCAAGTTAGAAACAAACAACATGTATGGGGCATCACGGTAACATACCCAAGGGCCACGCTCGAGAACAAGGCGAGCAAGGTACATGGCGGCGGCAGCAACCTGGCTAGGAGGGTGGGCGAGGAAGCGGTGATCCAGGCAGCCAATCTCCAAGAGATACTTGCCCAGTGTGCGAGTCTGGATGTCGTAGTTGTCGGCCTTTGATATCCGGCGGAGGAAGTTCATGGGGTTGGGGTAGCTCAGGTCGTAGTTCAAGGCAGCAAGGACAAAGCGTTCGGCGCTGAGAATTTCCTCCTCGGTGAAGCCATCATCGGCAACATGGCGGAAGTTCTGTACGTGAGGAGAGAGAACCTCCTCGTACTTGGAGGCGATGAACATGGCAGTAACACCAACCAACTGAAGGCGGTCCAGCTGGACAATCTTGGTGGAAAGGAAGCGGTCAATGATGTTGACAGCGAGGAAGAGAGTCTCGGGAAGGAGACGGAAGCGGGTGTGGACCTCGAGTAGCCAGTCGACAAGAATGCCGCGCATCTTCCACTCGAGTTCTGTTTGGCTCTCCATGTAGTCGGGGTTGGCCATGGTGGCAATCTCAAGCTCCTTCAGGTACTCAAAGATCTCGACAACATACTCAGAGACCATGAGCGGGTCATCAACGTCCTCCTTGTCTAGATCCGGGCCGTCGTAGAAGACCTCAGTGACGGGTGCCTCAACCTCCTTCTTTGAGCTCTTGCTCTGCTTGACATTGTCCTCTTCAACCACCTTCTCTTGTGGCTCGACGTTCTCCTCCTCTTCCTCCTCTGGCTGGTCTTCCTTCTCTTCTTCCTGCTCCTTCTCCTCTTCCTCCTTGACGTCCTCCTTTACATCCACCTTTGGCTCCGCCTTGACTGACTTTGCAGCGGCAGCGCCGCGCTTCTTTGCTGGCTGACCTGTGATACCGTTGCCACTAGCTGGGCGCTTCTTGAGATCGGATGTGGAGATCTTTTCCTTTTGCTGTAGAATGGAACGCGTCGAAGCGGCCCGTGATGACTTCTCGACCTTGGTTGGCTGTGCTGCTTTTGAGAGTTGGCCTTTGGTAGCCAGTGGCTTCTTTCCGTCTTTTGCGCCCAGAGCGTCCTGCTTTGTGACATTGCTGACGTCACCAAGAGCCGCACGCTTTCGCGTCGCGGCACCGTTCGCGCCGAGGGTAGCAGTCGACTTCTTTGTCTGGAGAGCCTTCTTGGGCACGTCTGCTGCCGACTCGTTGGCGCCCAAGTTGGCGGCCTTTGCACGCGTCAAGCGTGTCGTAGTGGCGTTTTCATCGTTCTCATTCGTGACGGCGCGTTGCCTCGTAGATCGAACCTGTTGGAGCGTGTTAATGAGCTGTATGCGAGGTATACACGTTCCCGCCGCGTCGTGGGTCTCGGGAACGGATGCAGCAAAAGGGCAATGACGTACTGCTGGAGGCATGGCAAGCAATATTAGGTATGCTAAGCAAAGCTAAAGAGGTATCCAGGTGTTCGAGTAGATGTGCAGTGTGTAATGGCTGATGTTTGATGTGTTGTGATGCACTGTTTGGTGACGTTAGCAGAGTTCGATGGAGCTTGAGCAAGGCGCGTCGGAGGTGGCAGGCCGACAGCAGCGGAGCATCGACGGTCGCGCAGGGTATGCACGAAGCTGGACGAGCGAACCACGGTCGATGCTCACGAATGCTGGTGGACCAGACACGCTCGACAGGGTGCGGCGGCGAGGATGAGGGCAACGTGACGGGCCAGCAGGAGAGACCAACCCTTGGAGAGCTTGAGGGGTTAATTGAGTGGACGGGGTAGAGGTCCAGCTACGGCGTGCACAAGAAGGAAAGTGGAGGTTGGGCGAGGGAGGAGGTGCACCAAGGTGTGTTGTGTGTGGGAGTGAGAGGGTATGTTGTGTGTTTTGAGCGAGGGCCGGCTAGCTTGGCTTTCCACGTCCCACGCGCCAAAATGGCCGTCGAGGCTGGCAAAGGCAACAGTGCACGCCCCACAGGCGCGTGTGCAAACTTACGCTGAGGAAGATGCCGTGACGCAACGCGTTTCTGTGGCGGCGATGGGCGGCTGGCGAGAGGGCTGATGGCGAGGCGCAGAGCTGCGCTGGGTGTCGCGTAGTCGGAGTGATGCAGTGCAGTGCAGTCAGGTTGAGCGACACTGGCGGGCGGGTGCGTGTTGTGATGGGTGACAGAGCAGACGCTGGTTGTTGCTGGGCCATCGCGCCGGGCAGGGCAGGGCAGGGCAGGCAGGCACTCCCCCGCCCGTCCCGCGCTAGTCCCAATCCGGTCATATAGAGAATTATTCGTGACACCGCCAGCACCAGCCCTCAAAGCAGCTGTGCCATTGCATCCCCGCCACGCATCCACCGCCCCCGGGCTCCCGACGATACAATGCTGCAACCCCGGATATGTAGTCGCCTTCAGTCTGTGCAGCTGTGCGCCGCCCTGCGCTCTGCCCGTACCTACGCACAGGTCCATGCCGCCAGCGTAAAGCAGCCATCATCACCACCATCGTCATCCATACAGCCCACCGTGGCTGTCGATGCTGCTACACTCAAGCAGGAAGGCTCGCGGAGAGACCGATTCATCCCTCTGCGCACATACAAGCCCCGCACACCCGGATTGCGCCATCTCAAGCGCCCCGTCAATGACCACCTGTGGAAGGGACGACCGTACCTCAAGCTCACCATTGCCCGAAAGGGACAGCACCTGGGAGGAAGGAACAACACCGGCCGGGTCACAGTGAGACACCGCGGTGGCGGTCACAAGAGGCGCATACGCATTGTCGACTACAAGCGCTACCTGCCTGGCAAGCATATCGTTGAGCGCATAGAATATGACCCCAACCGAAGCGCACATCTTGCCCTCCTCACACGCCTGGCAACCGGAGAAAAGTCTTACATCATTGCTGCCGATGGCATGCGCGCTGGAGACGAGGTCGAGAGCTACCGCAGCGGCATCCCCAGAGAGCTGATTGCCAGCATGGGTGGTGGCATCGATCCCGGTATGCTGGCTGCTAAGACAGCGGCCCGAGGCAACTGCCTTCCTATTCACATGGTGCCGCTCGGCTCGCAAGTCTACAACGTAGGCTCCAAGTCTCAGGGCGGGGGCGTCTTTTGCCGGAGTGCAGGTACATATGCCATTATCGTCAACAAGGAGGAAGTAGAAAAGGGCAGTAGCACAGAGATTAAGCACGTCATCATCCGGTTGCAAAGTGGAGAAATCCGCAAGGTCAGCGCCGACGCATGCTGTACCATTGGTGTTGCCAGCAATCCACAGTCACACTTTACATCCCTTGGAAAGGCTGGACGTTCACGATGGCTAGGAAAGCGACCCGAAGTCCGCGGTGTCGCCATGAACGCAGGTCAGTGCTTCGGCTTATCAATTCACCATCTGGAGTATGCTAACATGTCCCAGCTGATCATCCCCACGGTGGTGGTCGTGGTAAGTCAAAGGGTAATGTTCATCCCGTCAGTCCATGGGGAACACCCGCAAAGGGAGGCTACAAGACAAGGCACAAGAGGAACAAGCACACCTTCCTTGTTCAAGACCGACCGCGCAATCAAGGAAAGCGCAGGTCAAAGTAGGCCGAGAGTTGTATACCTATGCTCGAGTTCACACTGTACTTGTACTATATATTGCCTCAGTAGCACCCATGAACGTACCTTGATGAACCAATGCTATCTGTTCCGACAAACAATCCCATTCTACGCCGCCCAGCTGACCTCTCAAACGACAGTCGGAGTTTTTACCTAGAATCCAAATATGCTGCTAAGCTCTATACATGTACGCTATCGGGGTTCGTTATTACTTTTAATGTAGCTCGGCAATACTTTTCGGACGCGTTCGCTCTTATTCGCTGGGATTAGGAACTTGTCTTGTCAGCCTCTAAGCGTCATCATCCTAGTTCCACATGGACCACATCGACATTCAGGATGACACAAGATATAACGCCTGCAAGATCGGTCGCATTGTTGTCTCTGTTAGGCCTAATTAAACCCCCACTTGGGCGCGCCTCGCACACCTGCATAAAGAAGTCATATACTTACGCCATAGAATAGCTGACCAATGCGACACGTCGCTTGTGGCAGGCAGCGCAAAGCTAACCCTGAACGGAACTGGCTGGGACGCGAGCTGAGAAACCACCAACGGGGATTCCTGTTGGCAGCCCAGACGTACGGGAGATCCGACATAATTAGTCCATGTGGTCAACGTGCGTTCGACACGTTCAAGGCAGCACGCCTAAGGACGACGCTGCAGATCCAGTCCACACCAAGGAAGCTCATGCTGGCGCACCTCGACTCCTTCATCCCCATTTGCATGACAGAACTGCGACGCCCACCAGCCTGGACTTGTGGTCCTTTCCGCCTACCAACACCGCCTGTGTCCAAGTCACTACCACATCAACAACTCGACCTATAGCCGAGACTCGAACTATTAGGCGGAAGGAATTGTTTGAATCAGAGGCACCCCCACTTCTGAATCGTGCTTACGCGGGGTGCGGTTTCTCCT